AGAACAAGGGGATACTGCATGGTTTAAAATCAGGAAGGGAGTGTGTCAGGGTTGTATCCTTTCACCATACTTATTCAATCTGTATGCTGAGCAAATAATTGGAGAAACTGGACTATACGAAGAGGAACGTGGCATTAGGACTGGAGGAAAATTCATTAACAACCTCTAATGCAAAAGACACAACTTTGCTTGCTGAAAGTGAGGATGACTTGAAGCACTTACTGATGAAAATTGATGACTACAGTCTGCAGTATGGATTATACCTCAATATAAAGAAAACAGAAATCCTCACAACTGGTCTAATAACCAGCATCACAATAAATGGAGAAAAGATAGAAGTTGCAAAGACTTCTTATTACTTGGTTCTACAATCAACACCAATGGAAGCAGAAGTCAAGACATCAAAAACGTATTGCATTGGACAAATCTGCTGCCAAAGACCTCTTTCAAGTGCTGAAGAACAAAGATGTCTCCTTGAAGACTGAGGTGTGCCTAACCCAAGCCACGGTATTTTCAATCACCTCATATGCACGTGAGAGCTGGACAATGAATAAGGAAGACTGAAGAAGAGTTGATGCTTTTGAGTTGTGGTGCTGGCAAAGAATACTGAAACTACCATGGACTGCTAAAAGAATTAACAAATCCGTCCTGGAAGAAGTGCAGCCGGTGTCAGACTTCGTCTCACCTACTTTGGTTACGTTGGAACCACTCCCTGGAGAAGGATATCATGCTTGGTAAAGTGAAGGGTCAATGAGAAAGGGTAAAGCCCTCAACAAGATGGATTGACAAAGTGGCTGAAATGATGGGCTCAGGTATAACAAGGATTGTGGAGCTGGCACAGGACCGAGCAATGTTTCGTTCTGTTGTACATAGGGTCACTATGAGTTAGAGATGACTCAATGGCACCTAACAACAACAACAATAACAACAACTTAAGGATGACTACCATTAGCCTCTGCTTCTGAGACATAAGACAACACGACCCATTCACGACGACAGGTGGAAGAAAGAATTTAATCTATAACTGGACATAACTTTATGACCATGAAAAGGAGGAGCGTGGTATGATTCCCACTGAAATACTGCAACAATTCAATTTAAAACAGTTAAAGGGAATTCGTGTGTCATGATTTATCACA